CTCCGTGTGCCCGCGCCCTGGTGGCAGCCTCGCCCGCCACCCCGAAGAGACCTTGTTCTTCCCAGAGGGGGAGGGGGAATAAGCGTTCAAAACTCCGCCGCAAAAACGTCCGGCCTTGAACCAGAGAAGGCGCTCCAGGGGCCCCGTGGCTGCGGCACTGGGTTGCAGACCAGAAGGCTGGTGGTTCGAGCCTACCAGCCGCTCCGTGGGAGGTAGATGAGGCTTTCTGCTTCCACCATGATTTTGCAGCCTTGGGGACTAGGAAGCAGTTCTGAGACGGTGGCCATGAGGTGCGTCGCCGCCATGGCATCTCCCAGCAACTGCTGCGGCCTGGCCTCCATCCCTGCTGGCTCCTTCTCGATGTCTGCGGTTTCTCCACCGCCCTGGGTTTTATCTCGCGTCATTGCACACGGTAAGTGTTCAAAGATTTTCCTTCACCTCTTTCTAGTTTGGACAGTTGATTGTGTTTTCCATGGCAAATTAGCATCCCGCCCGACAGTCCAGGCACAAATTGTCCCGTGGGCATTGCTGACTGTCCCCATTTCCCGGCTGCCGTCCCAGATTTCTTCTCTCCAGTTCCCCAGCATTTCCCAGCCTTCTCGTCTGCACTGGTTTGGTCTTGTTCAGTCGATTGTTCTAAAGAGCAAGGTTGACCCCCTCGCACACACACCCCACGGGCCTCCTCCCTTCCAGGTCATACAGAATCCTCGTTGTTAAGTGGCACACAGTTGGTCCCGACCCAGAGCGACCCCGTACACAACGGAACGGAACACTTCCCGGTCCTTCGCCATCCTCCCAATTGTCCTATGCTCAAACCCATTGTTGCAGCCACTGTGCCAGTGCATCTCGTTGAGTGCCTTCCTCCTTGTTGCTGCCCTTCCACTCTGCCAAGCGTGATGTCCTTCTGCAGGGACTGGTCTCTCTCCTGACCACATGTCCCAAGCATGTAAGCGGAAGTCTCGCCATCCGTGTCTCCGAGGAGCTCTCTGGCCAAATTTCTTTCAAGATAGCTTTGTTTGTCTTTTAGGCAGTCCATGGTACTTCCCATATTCTTCTCCAGTACCACAGTTCAAATGGATCGATTCTTCTGACAGAAGGATCCTTAGTAATGTGTATTAGCAATTTTAATTGTAGAGTGATGTGTGGGATACAGTTGTAAATATAATACATGTAGTATTTTTAGATTACATAAATACTAACATCAACATTGTTTTGGTAAAATTTTTCTATGTTGCATTATTATTGTTTTTTTTAAGTTATTGCTGGAGGCAGGAGAAAGATGCAGCTTTCTGCTCCAGGAGAGTTGCAGTCTTGAAAACCCTCAGGAGGTCGCCATGAGTCAGCATTGAGTCGGTAGCAGTGAGTTTGTTTTTTGGGTGACAGGTTCACAAATACTAGTGACTATAATCTCGTAGCTAAGCCTCCGGAACATTGGACAAAATCAGCCACTATAAAGACACTCAAACCAAACGCTGCCATCGAGTCAGTGTTGACCCATAGTAACCCCCTGCGGGTTTCTGGGGCTGTAATCCTTTACAGGAGTAAAAAGGCTCACCTTTCTCCTAAGGAGCTGCTGGTGGCTTCAAACTGCCAACCATGCAGATTACAGCCCAGCGTGTAACCATTATGCCACCAGGGCTCCTCTAAAGACACTGTCAACCAGGAAACCACAGCACGTGCGTATAGCCTGCACACATGGAGCTTGGTCAGTGCTTTCGAGCGTCATCGTACTGGGGAAAGCTGACATTTCTACCCAGGGCACCTTAGGAGGTTCAAAGGATATGTTAGCAAAGCACTGTATCCTTGTAGGGTATTCATACGGGTAAGCTGGGCAGGCGAAAAATGGTTGTGTTGCTGTAACGAACTACAGGAATATTTTTA